ATATATATATATATATATATATATATATATATGTACCAGCTGCTGTGAATGAGTTAAGATTTATTCCACATTTGTGATATTTTAATACATGGTTAATAACCACCAAAGAAAGCCAAACCTTTTTGAAAAACAATAAAAAGTTCAAATGAACACTGAAAGGAAAAAAGTAATAAAGAGTAAAAAAACATAACAAAAAGAATCAAACTCTTAATGAATGAAAACGAATAAAAAGTTTCATGGGAAATATTATAACATGGGAATCTATCGGAGATATCCTGGATTCAGAAGTATGTCCTCAAAGGTATGGATACACCATCTACCAGATTTAACCTCTAAATAAAAATATAAGCCTCATCTATTTCCTAACATGAGGCACATTTTTTTCACATGGATATTAAATTTTGCAGTAATAGAACATAAATTAAAATATCTGATAAAAAAAAAGAATTTCCATTCCAAATCTATGGTCTTCCCTCAACTTCCAATAACTTTCCAACTAATACAAATAAAAAAATTTATTGTTTGTGAATTGCAAATGTTTGTTTGTTTTGAAGTTAAGCACAAAGCTACACATTGGGCTATCTGTGCTCTGCCCACCACGGGTATCGAAACCCGGATTCTAGCGTTGTAAGTCCGCAGACATACCGCTGTGCTACTGGGGGGCGAATTGCAAATGTATCACAAGAATTGTAATAAGTTTACCAGAATTTGAACCTATTAGTTTGCAGGTTACAATTTAATGGATTTACTAAAGAAAATTTTGAAAGATAAATTATTTCAACATAACTTATATAAAGATTTAAATAAAATTGTAGATGGTATATTTTCAACAAACTTACTCAGTTAACTTTTAGACAGAAGAGGGGTATCAAAGGTTATTGACAAAACATGTGCAACAACTCATTCCAGTTGATAAGTTTGTTTAGTTAGTAATAATTCAAGTTGAAAGGAGGATAGGATAATAATATTATTACCAGATTACTTGTTTGGGGGAAGTTATTACTAATTAATTGAGCATACTGAAGACTGAAAAGCCAACTTCAAGAGATAAGATTTTTCTTATCACCCTAAATGGTTAATTCTTTATTATTAGTGTCAAAAAATAACTTCTGAAGCAACCACCTTCCCACAACTGGCTGCAGACACTGTATTGGTGTGGAACAGTGTTGTCCCTTACCACCCACACTTGCCCCAGAATACATTTTCTTAAACTTTCTTTAATACATTTGTTTGTAGAAAGGCGAGGCTTGTATTCTTGTTTAGACATTAGATATGGTAGATGGTTTATCTCTACATTTGGTAGATTACCAGACTGTGACTTGTCTCCTGAAGCTTTTTATTCTTTTACATTGGTTAATAGTTTGAGTCTTTGTGTTCTTCTTTGCTCCTTTTCTTTCTTCTCTTTGTTTAACTGGGCTTGTTGTTTGTCAGTGGTTTGGCCTACTTTGGTGGAT